ATCTACTTATTTATTTATTTATTTTTCTTGATTGATTGATTGATTGATTGATTAATTAGTTAATTAATTTATTAATTCTTTCGTTTGTTCGTTAGTTTCTTCCATAATTTATAACATTAAAACGACAATGTTAATTTTAAGTTGATGAAGTCTGTCTCATTAACATGAGTGTTCCATCTCTTTCTGTTACATATTCAATGATATCTATCAATGATTAAAGACAATCTATGGCATGGTAACGAGAGTTTTGTAACTTTAGAATTAGACAAAAATAGTGTTGTCTAAAATTCTATAATTAGTGCATACTTTTTAGTTTTTAAACGTCTGTAGTAAGGTAGTAGTGGTGGTGACTGCCGTAGTGATGGTATAGCAGCTGGTAGTAGAGGTGCAATTAGTGTAATTGTAACTTTCAGTGCTAGTAATATAATATAATAATAATAATAATATATATATATTTCATATAATATATATATATTAATTATTAATAATATGGCAAAATAATAGTTATTATTATCGTAGTGTCATTTGTGTTTTTTTTGTACTGTATTGTATTAGCGCTATAATGTATTTGCATGTAAAAAATTTATGTATATATATATATATATTAAACATAATGCAGTTATATATTATACATGATATAGTATATATATATTGATTATATATTGATGAAAATCACAGCATGTTCAGCTTCCTGTATAATTTTTCGATTTTTCTAACATTTAACCATGATAGATGTTCTAAACGAAGAATTGTAGGGACACACTTGAGCATCTGGCCACATACACAACTTATCAATTCCGTACACTGAAGATGGTATAGGAATACCGAAAAAAGCTTCTTCTGCTTTTGCTTTTTCTGGCCCTTTTCTCTGGAATCTCTACCTACTTCTCTGACTACTTCTCCATCACTTGCGAAGTTCAGAGCGGATCTCAAGACCCATCTGTTTTCAAAATTCATTGAGGAGCGATGTTGAACATCGCGGAAATAGCGCTTTATAAGCTAATTGATTGATTGATTCTTTGCTCTACCATGCTTAAAACAAGTAAAAAAATTTGATTTTGAACTCAAGAAACTTGATAATAATTTACGGTCTACTGTTTAGAAGAATTAAACAGGAAGCTAAATAACGTGTAACATGCCGTTGGATTTTCATCAACAATTGCATTTCTGACATTCTTCTTAATCCTATATATATGTGTGTATTAAAAGATGTTTGTTTATGTATTTACTTGCATGTCTTCATTAAATAGTAAATAACTATAAATATATATATATATATATTTATTAATAAGATTGTTATACTGATCTTTAATTTGTTTGATGATTAGATGAATGAATAAATTATTTTTATTTATTTATTTGTTCTATTTTAATCTTTTTGCTATTGAAACATTCACTAATAGGCATTAATAAAACAAAAGAATCGTAACCACATATAAACTATTCACACACACACAAACACACACACACACACACGTTTGTTTGGCCTCGTACAGGTTGCTCATTATCCAGAAATTAAGAATGTTACTGAGGCTCAATGCTTTTTGTTTTCTGGGTGGAGCATTAAAATACCTGGCTATTCGAGATCACAATGACATAGTAGATAAAAATTGAGCCAGGAAAAGATTGCTTGCATCACTACGGCATGTTGATCAAAAGGGATTCACACATACATTCATATACACACATATATTCATGCACACACATACATTCATATACACACATACATTCATGTACACACATACATGCGCACGCATACGTGTTAGCAAAATCACAGTCATACACACAAATATAATCACATAAAAAATATTAATAAGAGATATCATTAAAATAGTACACTCAAAATGTCACAAAGCATTAAAATGGCAACTGACTGCATCATGTGTATATATATACATTTGTATTTAGTAATCAATCAAGATGGTACTAATTACAATAGTAAATAGTAGTAATAATAAGAAATATTATGAACGATTAGTTCCAGGCTTATATACAGGTGCCATATCTTTCCATGGGTCTTGGAGCATGGACGGATGGTAGTATTTGTCGATGTGGCTATTTGTTCTATTATTATTATTATAATTATTATTTTGTTTATTGTTTTTAATGCTAAAGTCTGGACTGTTTAAACTCAGGTTTCTCTTGCTGTTGCCGTACTGGTGCCTCTGTTTAGAAGTTGATATAAAAATTATAAAATTTGAATTATAAATTAAAATTATAAAAATTTGTTATATTATTCATATAACTATATTATTAATACGTTAATAATAATTATAATATTGATAATTTATTTTAATATTTACATTATCAATAGAAGATGGTGACCCCATAGGCATTGGAGTGGAAAAATATGGAGACCGAATGGCAAAACGTGGAGATGGATTGAATGGAGATCTGCCTGAAGAGCTTCCCTGATCTGGGGACAGTGGTGACAGGCTTCTTAAACATCCTGAAACGTTGTAGTTAGGACTCTGGGAGTAATGAAAGTTAATTTTTAAAATCAAAATTTTAATCTAATTAAATTAATTAAATATAAAAATTTATGCCACTATGGATAGTGATACAAAGTTATAATTATATAATAGATGAAATTTTTAATTTATCAGTTTATTAGTACAGCAACATTTCATATTAATTAAAAAATGAAAGTGTGATATTTAAAATATTAATAAAATATTGAGCTTTAACTTTTTAGAATCGGACAAACAATTCATTTTATTTTAATAATAGTAATGTTTATTTAGCTAGAATAGAAATAGTGAAACCAATAAAACATTTAATAATTAATTTAAATTTTAATATTAATTTAAAATTAATTAAATTTATAACAGATTATTAAAGATTAAATATTAAACTAACAAAATTTGGGAAGAAATTGGTAGACCCACCAAACGTCGACGACCGTTGATCCTGATTAGGATTAGGAGGTGGTAACATCATTGAACGAGAATTATCACCATGACCGCAATTAGGAGAATTGTTGTTAGTAGGCGAAGGCGAGAAAGTTTTGAACATGGGACTTCGATGAGGAGGAGATTGAAAGTTGAAAGTGCGGTTGTACATCGTTTTGAAAATATTAAAAAAACGAGAAAATTAAAATTTTTTAAAATATATTCAGCGAAAATAAATCACACCAAATTTTTGTAACCGATTTTTACAACTCACTTTTAAACTTTAAAAGTAGATTTAGTCTATAAAACAAAGATTAGCTACGAAAATTGTATACATAGAACAGAAAGTGTTGAACTGTACGTTGATGTACACGTACTATACAGTGCACGCATTCATCTTTACGACCTGTACGTCTTTTACAAACTAAAAAACCAAAAACTGCAACAAAGTAGTTTATTGATCCGTATATTAAGCGAGTAGAATCGAAGGTGGGTGAGACATGCAAATATTAATTCATCAGTGTAAAGAAGGAAAAATAGAATGTACTGTTGATAAAAATAACATAAAATAGAATATTTTAAATAAACTAATTCATAAAACTGTTGAATATAAATCGTACTAAGACATTACCTACGTTTAATCAAGGCTTTTTATCGTTCTCCTTTTTCTCCAGTGACAGCTGTAAACTTTTTTTAATTTCAAATCCAATATGTCTGGCCATCGGAGGTGGAACAGCATTACCGACCTGACGATGTCTATCAAGCACAGTCCCATAAAACCGGTAAGTATCGGGAAATCCCTGGGACCTAGCGCACTCCCTAACTGTAACGACCCTGTGCTGTTCCGGATGAAGAACCCTTCCTTGTTTGCCCATCGGTTCAGGATTAGTAACTGTAGTACTGAAGAATCCATCCCATTCCAGGCGGCCGTAGAGACCCGACCAATGATTGTGACGATTGCCAGTGTGAGGCAGACACCAAGGTATCAGCGTATTAAACTGGCGGTGTGCTGGATCGCAGTGTCCTGTCTCAACGCAGGAACAAACGCCTCGCAAATTACCACTTGCTGTTTTTCCAACTCTCTTATCGTCGTGCGTGTATCGAAGTTTACGTGTTACGGTCCCATCCTTCAACCTAATTTCTAAATTAGGCAAGTCTCGCCAGTCGGAACCAGGAGCCAGAGGAATGTGTTGCATACGCGCCAGGACGAGAGCACTCATTTCTTTGCAGACGTGATCCTGCAAAAGTGTCGTGTAGGAATTTTCTCCAATTTTTCTTCGTGACATCTTCTGAAAATGGGAAACAGGTTCCCCGCCGTAACCAGTTTCAATATGACCAGCACCGTTATTTACCTCCGGTAGATCCGACATAGCATCTCTAACTGTGATTGTACGAAAAGGAGCCGATCCAGATGTTCTACTGACGCATGACTCAAACCTGCGACCATCGACGGCCACAGTCAACTGCATACCTCTCACTGAGAAGGAATGCATTGGCTCCGGGTAGAAAGGCAACTTATAACCAGGGGCAGAGGCCAAGATAATTGCTCTTCGACGTGTTTGCGGGATTCCGTAGCAGCCGGCCTGTAGGACTCCAAAGGTGCATTGGTAGCCCATACTGATCAGACACCTCAGGGCCAGTTTTAAAACGACACCCCTCTTGAACGACACAAAATTTCGAACGTTTTCGAGCAAGAAATATTTAGGTCTGTAGTAATCACAGTAGCTGAGATAACTTGCAATGAGCGAATTTTTAAATTTGCTGTACTCTCTCTGGTTGAATCTATTCATGCCACTGAAACCTTGGCACGGTGGGCCTCCACACAGCAATTCAACATCACCTCGCTTGGGCAACCTTTGACCCGTCGAGTTGAACTCTGACCCGCTGATTGCGAGACTGAGAAGTTCATTGCAGTCATCACTGAAGACAGTGCATGATGGATTGTTGAGGCGGAAAGCTTGTGAGGCTGATTCGTCTTTTTCAATTGCCCATCTGGTCAGTTGAAATTTTGAAAAAAATGTATGAATAATTAAATAGGTATGCATGCACTAAATTTAAATGATATTGTATATGGGTATGCAGCAGCAATGAAGTACCTGGTGTCAGCAATACCCGCCTGGTGCAGGCCCTCAGAAAGCCCCCCACATCCAGCAAAAACATCCAAACACTTCAACGCTCTCAATGGCTTCTTTTCATCAGTCGAAACATTTTCTTGTTTTGCTAATGACGACTTATTTTTACTCTTTCCTTTCCCTTTCCCTCCACCTTTATAAAACGCAAGTTCTTTAACAATTTGAGATGATGGCACGTCTTGCAGCGATTTGGAATCAGGAAGGTACATCTCGGTGAAGTAGAATCTGTCGGACCCATCATTGAAATATCGAGTGAGGACGTCTGTTGCTTGCAGGCCGAGGTCTGATTCGTCGAAGAAGGTCACCTTCATTAGGACCACAAATTTTTAGATACTTTTTATTACTGAACAGCACACAGATACAGACAGACACACATACATATACACAACACAAAAGTTAAATACAAAATTAAACGTTGAAACAGAAAGAAGCAAATACATACCGTGCACTTGCCAGTGTAGTTACGGAAAGATACAGTCAGCCTATCTTCCGACCAGTACAACAGATTCAGATCTTTATGTGATGACGGGTTTCCTGTAGAAAGGACATAAATCCATTTTATAATTTGTCACTATTCTAATTTTTCATTACATTGTTACATTATTATTCAAATAGAAATATTAAAATAATTACAAAACCAAACCAAACCAAACCTCTATTAGTATTCTCAGGCCTGTAAAACTTCTGAACTACAACATTCACCTCCTCAACTTTAACCTTCCGACCTTTCAACTCCAGAGGGCCACAATCATCACTGACGTCATTGCAAACGCTCTTACCATTGACTGATTTTTGACCTAGGTAACTATTAGACTCAGTTTTTACGAAAAATCCAACAACAAGCGCGATTCTAAACGGCTCGGGGACTTGTTCATTCGAACCTTTTATGTATTCGGTTTTCCTGTAAAGTTCTGGATAGACATCCTCATCGTATTTTATAACTCTATTATTTAAAACTTTTGTAAAAATTTGCTTTTTGGAGTTATTATTGTTATTTGTGGATAGTTTAAAATCGTAAGCTTCAGTATCTAAATAGATACAATCCCCTTGTTTGATGAGGTCATTTTTGTATCTAAGAGAGCGATAGAATGTCTTACTTTTTAATGATGACGTAATTGTCGTCATGAATTCTAAAAATTTGCCATTGCCGTTTTTATTAAAAGTAGAAGTTGTGTAGTTGAATTTCGTCAGCAGTTCATCAACACCAACTTCGTCATCCAAAAATGGGGTCTCAGAGATAGACTTTTCGTTAACGCTAGCGCAAGCTGGACAGCATAACAAGCCATCGACGACCACCTTACTAATCTCACTGTCAGTAGTATTATTATCTAACATCGAACTAAACTCCACGTCTTGATTTTTGTCATTTTCAAATTGAGTAGAATTACTGGTGCCGTCGGCACGAATATCGTCATTGTCCATCATTTTAACGTCGTCATAGCAACCATTACATTTACTATAAGTAGTAGCGGTGGTATCAGCTGCAGCAGCGGTAGTCGCTGTAGCAGTCGCTGTAGTAGTGGTAAAGGTAGTATTATTACTGTTAAGAAAATTTTTAACGACGTCCAGACTATCGAACTCAGAAAAATCCTCAAACCTCGCCTTACTCTGGTCATATGAAAGTCTACAGAAAAAACTTTTGCCATCATCATTATTATCACTACTGCCCTTATTATCACCACATCCCAATCCGGACTGTGTTTGATAGCCGGGAATGTGACTGGCGCCACCACCGCTGCCGAAAAAGTCCATTTCTGATTGGATGACATAGTCGACTTTGATTGGATAGGCGATGAAATGAAGGGGCGAATCTTGGCACTCATCGACAAGAAAAAGTTCTTTGGGGTCCGATGTCTCACCCAATACTGTATCACCGCCCCTATTTAGCCATCTAGTGCGAAAAAGTGAAAATAATTAAGTTTTTTAAAAAGTGAGTTTAAATTGAATGAAACAGACAAAACGAAACCATACCTAGCATGAAACATAGCCTTTCCATAGGAATTATTTCTCTTGACCACCTCCTGCCACATGGACCTGACCTGGGCCACGTACATCGGGACTGCTGGGTCATCCGGGCGCACGCACACATGATCACCTTCGGGGCGTTTGAGGTCAATGAGGATAAAAGGGATGATTGAACAGTAAGAGTACAGACTAGCACAGAATGTTACTACAATGTAACATTACAATTTATTAACAGACAGACAAACAAATAGATAGACAGACAGACATACCTATTTTAACAATATGCTCTCCAATGTAGGCACCCAGGTAGAAAATTTTTTCTCCATTTGCGTATTTCGTCGCCAGGGGTGAACCAATCCAGGTAACCTTCGTTTCTATCACCTTGGCTGGAATGAGGAGAAGTTTAAAAGGTATAATACTTGTATAAAGATAAAGACACGCACACACACACATACAGAGAAAGAGATATAGAGAGAAACACAGACGCATACTAACTTAATTTGTGTACCACTGAATTGATCTTAAGAACAACAGCTTCTGTCTTCTCAGAGTTCTTATTATGATTCATTTTCCTCTTCTTGCCTTTAACTTTCCCATTATCATCATCTTCTTCCCCATCAACATCATCCTCTTCATCATCATCATTTTGACTGATTTCTCCGGAATTATCATCGAGAAGGTCGTCATCTTCGGCCTCCTTGATGCTCATATATGGACACCTTCTAATTAAGCAGGCCTGCTTCGACCGTCCGGACCCGCCAAACTTGATCATATCCATACAGGATCTGCACTTTCCACAGTCAGGCATCTGGCAAGCTTCACACACGCCACATCGTCGTCGTTTTGTGGCCGCTGAACTTTGACCTTCGATTTGACCCTTGAATAAGGAATCGAAAACCTCTCTTACTAACGGTGTGACAGTTGCCTTTGAGTCTTTTTTCTTCTGAGCAGTTTTTGCTGCAATTTGCTGCTGCTGCCTTGTCTTCCGATTAGTTTGCTGAGTGTTTCCAAAGGATTTATTCTTGCGACCGAGCGTGACGCCTGTCAACTTAACCAGCGTTCTAATGCACGGCTGGATGATTAGTAGCACGTCTTCCGTGTCGGCCGTGTCGTCGTAACTCTGTAGCTGGTCGATGATGAACTGGGCGTGCTGGAGCAGACTGTCCTCTGTGAAACGATTCGACTGGAGTAGGCCAGAGTGGTTGTTGTTATTGCCGTAGAAGTTGATATTGTTGCTGTAGAAGTTAATGTTGTTGCCGTAGAAGTTGATGTTGTTGCTTGTTGTGCAGCGCCTGGGGACTGTTAGCTGTGAGTAAGAAGATGAATATAATGTATGATATTGATGACAACCACATATATTTTACTGCTGCTACTATGAACACTAACATAACTTCTAACGGTAGAGTTTATAAAAATAAACGAAACCAACGAGACAGAAAGAAAGAAACGATCGGAAACCTGTATTCTGTTGACCAGATCCTCATAACTTGGCTGCTCATCCTTCTCTATGGACTCCTTCAGAAACTCAATCACAACTTTTGACAGCTGAGTTTTGTCAGATACAGCATCCCAAAACGGTTTGTACGCGTCACTTGGGGAGAGGAGGATGTACTCTGCGAAGGCGGTACTGAAACCGACTACCGGGACTTCCCCACCGTCAAACCCGGCCGTCCACCATTGGTTGATAGGGCCCATGTTTCGAGTACATATGCCACCTGCTCCATGCATGTGAGTGTGTGTGTGTGTGTATGGTGAGGTTTGCCAAGAAGAATTCTTATGAAAAACTTTGCCAGAATACAAACTTTTATTGGAAGTTTCATAAAAGTTATAAAAATTTTAAAAATAAAAACTTTTTACAAAATAACTATAAAGGTTGGAGAAAATATATTAGAAGAGAGAGAGGGAGAGGGAGAGAGAGAGAGAGGAGAAAGAGAGAGTTACAGAGAAAGATGCAAACCCTCAATAGATGGATTATCATCATAGATCGGCTTGATGTAACCACTGAAGTACAGCTCAACATTCTTTTCCAGTAGGCCACTATCAAATGGGCAGAGATGAGTCATTCTGTCATAAACACTAAAATTAGTGAGTCGATGTTGGGGCCGTTCGTCTGCTTCGTCTATCTGGGGACAGAAAAACAGGAATGTTGTTTAAATTAATTTGGAGAATTAATAAATAATTAATAGTAATGATAATAAAAGCGTTACTAACTTCTTGTTCGTCCCCGGTGAAAAGTGACAGTCGTGAGTCGGTTAGCGCAACAAATTCTTCGACGGCCTCACCAGAGTCACCTGGGTACATTACTATTTCCTGTTCATCGAGGATCTGTCCGCATTCGGTACACCTTTCGATTATGAATTTATTTTTTGGGTGGTTTATTAGTTGTAGTTGTTCTGTGGTGTTTGTTGTCATCAGTTCTTTGTTGGTGATGTCAGTTTCTGATTTGTCTTTGTTCTGCTTTTGGAAAGATTTATAATAATTATAAATAATAAATAGTATTATTAATATAGAATCAACTATTTTTAAATAATAAATATATTGATAGTATAATAAATTAAATCTATCTGACCTCACTGTCCAGCTTCATTTTTTTCTCAGCCTGCTCTACTAACTCATCAATGACTTTTTCATCACTGGCTTCACTTTCGTTATCATTGGCAGAGCTTGAACTAATTTTATTGTTCCTATTAACATTGTCATTTAGTGATTTCCGTTTTTTGTTATTAACAGGCGAATTTTCTTTCAAAGAGGCCTGATTGGCAAACATAGACATGATATTCAGTTGATTTTTCAATATCTCTGATTCTTTCAATCTGTATTTTAATTTTTTAAATGGATTTTTATTTATATCTCTGGAAGGATATTGAAAAATATATGGAAAAATTAGAATTTTATGGGCTAAGTTTTTGGCTTTGGCACAAAATGGTGGACGAGATAAAAAATTAGTTAAACAACAAAAATTAATAATTGAAATAACAAACTAATGAAATTAATTAAATAGAATTAATTTAAAACAGTAATAAATATTAATTAAAATTTACAAACAAATAAGTGATCTTACAGCCTTACTTTTTATTTTTGACAATCCTGTCATTTTGATGATGCTGATCCGAATCATTGCACGAGTTAGCCTTTCTTGACATTGGTGTTGATGAAGATTTTTCTCTATAATTATTTTTCACTAATCCTCCTAATCCAGTGGTGGCACTTGCGCTGCTTTTACAACTGTCCCGCCTGATTGGCTTCCCCACTTGTTTTGAGCTGCAAGGAATCAACTCCTCTTTCTCATTAGTCCCGTCATCGTTGTCGTCATCATCCTCATAGCTATCTATAACCAGATTTTTTTTCAACGGGTCCCCATTGGCATTGTTAATATTATTTCCGGATCCGGACAAGTTTTTGCCATCGTAAGATGACGAAACCGACGATATAGAATCCATTAGTTTCATAATTAATTTTAAAATAAATTAAAATATAATTTAAAAAATGGGATCTTGATTTTGAAACAAAATTAACACGTTTTTTTGCAGGTTTTTGAATGGCCCGCTACCGCTTGTTCATATTTATGGCGCTATGCAATGTTGTCAATTGCGGAAAGTAAACGTTTTCAGAAAAAGAGATGGCCAAAAACAATTTTTCAAATTAACAATTTTTTTGTTGAAAAATACACGTTTAATTGTTAAATTTTGTTACAATTAGTTTATCAGTAAGTTTATAACTAACAGTCTGTAATTTTTGAAACCATAATTGCATAAAATTATGTTTAGAATTACAAATTTCTTTAAACTTCAATTAAGACGGGGTAGCGTGGCCGAGCGGTCTAAGGCGCTGGTTTAAGGCACCAGTCTCTTCGGGGGCGTGGGTTCGAATCCCACCGCTGCCACCATATTTTTGTTTTTATCATTTTGTCAACCATTTCCTGATAATTCCTTTTGTAATTTTTAAATCTAATGTTCTAAATTTTTTACATGTAATTTAAATTTTTATACTTAAATAATCAATTTTTCGATTTAAATTAAATAACTAACCCGTCGATTAATCAATTAATTAATTAATCAATTAAAATATTAACAATTCTATTCAATGGTTGGATAGTTTATAATGAATTTTTCGTTTAAACTTACCGAGTGTACTTTTTAAAGTGACGTATTTGGAAAAAACCGGGTAAGCTACACCGATAGGTTCGTCGAATACCTCATCTCTTATGTACTCGTTACAAGAATTATCGCATTTTTTAGTTGCGTCTCCAACGTAATTAGCGTAATTATTATTGTTGTAATTTTCATAAATATTTTTATACTTAATTTTGTAATTATTGTTTTCTTCGCTCTCGTTACAGTGTCTGTTTTTTCCGTAACAACTATCATGGTTTCTGTTGTAATATAATTCGTTTCTGTTGAGAACTTCACTAAAGTTTGTCTCGGTCCTCGAGTTTTGACCGACACCGATTCGACGAATATTTGAATTTTTCGACAACCGACTATAGTGCATGCCACGATTATTTGAATTGCTCAAAGTCGGACCGTTATTTGGAGTACTGAATTTCAGTTGTTCACTACTCGTTGAGTCTGAACGAATATCGGCAACAAAATTCTCAACATTATTTGAATCGATTCTTGACAAACTTTCGGTATCGTGTGGTCCGGTGAAAGCACTGTTCGTAACGTTTTTAGTGATTTTGATTGCGTTTGAAGACGGCTGAATCGTCGTTGTGCTTTTTGAGTCAGTTTTCAAATTATCGCTGACATCTGATCTTGTACCTTCTGTTGTTGTACCTTTCATGGCATTGTCTTTACTGGTTGAAACCGAAAGATTCGAGCTGTGTTTGTCCGGTATGAAATACTCGCTTGATTTGGTCGGTTCGTTATTAGTAAAAGCCGGCGGTTGTGTGGTTATTGTCGGCATTGGTGGTGCATCGTCAGTAGCAGAAGTTGATGATGAGATTGATGTTGATGACGAGGGAGATAATGAAGAAGCTGATGACGTTTTTGTGGCTGTTGCCATCGTCTTTGCTGTTTCGTTCTTCTTAGTTTTAGACTCTGATGTCATTAATTTGCTCTTTCCCGAACTTTCAGCTTTGCTTTTCTCGCTTTTGAGTTCAGATTCTGCAGCTTTATTCTTTTCAGTCTTTGAATCGGTTATTACAGTTTTCATTTCGGAATCCGTCGTTTCCATTTTTTGTCTTTTCGATGCAGAACTTGTTTTCTTGCTTCTCTCCGTTTTCATTTCAGGTTCTGCAGCTTTGTTTTTCTCTGATTTCAATTCCGCTGTTGTTGCATTTTTGTTTTCAGATTTCTGTTCGGAGGCTGTCATTTCGCTGTTGTCAGTTTTACGTTTGGAGTCTGTTGTTTTATTTTTATCAGTTTTTGAAGCAGATGCCGTCTTTTTGCTTTTTTCACTTTCAACTTTTGTTGTGGTCCTATGTTTGTCTTTGTCAGCTACAGCTGCAGAAGTTGTCAATTTTTTAGTTTCAGTGATCGTTTCAGAAGTTGTGGTTGTTGATGTCGTTGTTGTCGTTTCTTTGCCGGTGGTTTTAATTTTACTGATACGGTCCTTCAACTCATCCATGTAGGAGGATTGAAGGCCATGTTGTTTCTCTTGCCCCACTAACAATTTCTTTTTTTTACATTTTTCCTCCTTTTTATCATTTTCCAACTTTTTTGAATCTTTTTTCTCTTTTTTCTGTTGTTCCTTTGTATGTTTGCTTTGCTCTTTCGTTGAATTTTTATTATTTTCAGACTGACTTGAGAGCAGTTTACTTTCTGATTTCTCCTCAATTTTATCAAACTTCTTCGTTTTATAGACGGAATTTTTATATTTCAATTTCTCTTCAATAGCCTTCGCCATCTCCTTAACAGAACCAGTCTTCTGCTGTCTCAATATCTGATCGTCAACTCTCGTGCTGCCAGATTTAATCGTTTCAACTTTTAAGCCAACTTCCCAGTTCGGAGTCTTTGAAGAATTTTCCGCTTTTGTGATCACTTCTTTGGATATTTTGGCGGCGATCTTTCTTATAGACGACGCTCTCAACCTTGGTATGGAATAGGCCTTTTAAAATAAAGTTTGTACAATATTTTACGTACATTTCATTCTAACTTGACATACTTTACAAACTTGAATAACTCTCAAATACAAAATAATTTTAAAGTTTTTTTTATAAAATTATTTTGTAGAGACAACAAATTTTTAAAAATCTTATTTAGGGATTTTCAGATAAGAGCAAACTAACCGATTGAACTCTCTCCTTAATACGACTTCTCTTTCGTCTGCTGGGCTTTCTCCGCAACTCGACGGGCTCTGGTTGTAGGAGACAGTTGCAGAAATCCATTAGCAACATCTTTTCCACCTTTTTACTACACTTGACGCTCTTTCCTTTCCTAACAAGGTAATCAGATAACCTACTCGAAAACTGCCTTTCTGATTTGTTCTAAAATTTGGTTAAATTATTATTTGTATAACATTTTTTCAAAAATTACGAATGTGATGACTTAAATGTAAAAATTAGTAAAAATTTTAATGCACACAACCTCGAAAAAAGAAATGCGACTCCTACTCCTTAAAAATCTCTTGTAGGAAGGTTGCTTCCTTCTCATTCGACTCCTAGGCTTTTTACTCTGCGTATCCATGTTTACGAGAAGTTGTAACTTATCTTTCCTATGTCTCTCTAAGATGCCCTGTTTTTCTTCCAACTGCTGTTTCAGTAATTCTTTCCTCTTTTCATTCCAGGCCTTGTTCAGTTTGGTTTTTATTCTCATTTCTTTCTTGCAGGTGGCAATTTTTCTTCTCAATTTTTTGATGTGCTTCCGTAGAATTAAAATTTTCTTCCTGATTACTTGCTCTTTGTGACTGAAGGCGTCTTTCAGGTACATCACTTTTCGCAACCGCTCTTTCTCCTTCTCGACGAAATGAGAGCAACCGGTAGCGCCTTCTAGACTGAGATCCGACTTGCAAATCGTTTCGAATTTAATCAAATCGACACTCTGAAACGGTCCCAGCAGTTTATTAGAAAGTTGCATATCTTCACCTGTTGATTCTTTCGTTGCTTCTGAGAAACTCTTCAAACCGTTAACGGGCCCAAAGCTGTCGTTCTTCCTACTGAATTGATAAAATTGCGGGCCAACTTGTTTCTGCGTTGGGACATCAGGGACAGTGACGATAGTGAAGGGACCGTCCGCCGTGTTGAAGCAAGCAGCTCTCGAAGCCGGTTGAACCGGTACAAAGCATACGTTCGTCGAGTTTTGTTCTTCTATGTTGGGAGTCGTCATCATCCTGGAAGGAGTTGGTGGTCGACGAGGGGGTGTGGGTCTGCCAGGGGCCATCATTCTGGGGGGAGCCGGTGTTCTGGGAATGAGATTTCTAGTGATTTTTTGTTGAGGTGGTAATTCTAATTGAGGCCGAAAGATTGGAACGTTGTTGATTGTAGGTGAAGGTTTGTGAAAATTTAAAGTTGAAATTTGTGAGCCTATTGTAATTTCCTCGGAGCCGATTGTTGATTTACTATGTTGCAGCGAGTTAATGGTTGATATTTTTGATTGAGATTTTTTGAATCTATTAAAAGATTTTTTTCTAAATTTTTTCTTTCTGTTCCTTCTTCCTTTCCTATTTCTTTTCTTTTTCCCTCTACGAGCACGTTTGATCCTCTTCCTATTCTTACTGATGACGGGATCGAAAGTTCCGAAGCAGACGACGCCATTTCGGCAGGACATGTTGGTGCTGTCGTGCGATGTTCGCAAGCTGATCAGCTCATTCACCAGGTTCCTTTTCTTCTGCTCCAGCAACTTCTGCTGCCTAACGAGGACCGTTATCTCGCTGTCTCCTACTCCTTCCTTTGCCTCACTTAAGATGCCATCTATGCTTTGTGTCAGTTCAATCAAACTGGCCGTCCTGAAACTATCTGACGTGGAAAGGTCGGTGTTTGAATTGACGCTCGAGTTGAAATTCGAGGTGAAATTGGAGAATTTTGAGTTTGAGTATTTCGAACAAGTGTCACACTCGTTTGATTTTTGATTCTGATTTTTCAAACTGTGCGATTGTCTGTTTGAGAATGTTGGAGTGTTGTGGTTGTAATAGCACTGACGCCGCCGACGGAATATGCTGAGCATGGAGTTTTTCTCTTTCAGGAGTTTGAATTTGTTTCTTAATTTCGTCGATCGATTGCTGATGAGGTTGTCACGGAGCATGGGCGGCGAGTTTATCGAATGAAGATTACATTCTGAAGTTACATTTCTGCAGTTGTACGCCGGCACCGAACGACTTATATAGCGCTTCATATCAACTACTGATTGATTAAACTGTGAGATTTATACGGCGCCGATTGTTGATCTGTAAGGTCTTTGTGTACGTGCAATAAAATAGGCACTCCATGTCACGCCACAGTTTAAGATATCGCCAGAAATATTCAACAGAATTGATAATAATAAACTCATTATTTTAATCATATTTAATCTAAATTGTTTTAAAACTATTTAAATGACTGTTTTAAAAATAAACTTTCATGTCTATTATTTGTAAACAAAACACATTATGTCATGCTGACAAAGAACTGGAATGAATTTATAGCGTAATAATCAGCAATTCTTACAATTTATATGTTATCAATTGATGTTACCATCCCTAAGAGTCGATAATTCTTATCATATTTATAATATGAAATAATATAATAGTTCTACCATAGACTTATCATTCTTATTTTCGTATATTTTGAAACAGTTACTGCACTATGTATTTAACACCTTCTCTATTATTTACAAACTGCCTCATTTGAGGTATGACAAATTTGTATCTGGCAAAAAATCACTTGATAAAAATATTAAATTTTCAGTTAATTTTTATTTCAAGTTGTTGAAGTATGGTGATGTTGAAATGGAAAAAGATATTAAATGTATAAACAGAAAGATAACAAAGAAAAACAAATCCGATAATTTTAAATTAATAAATTTCACTTTCGCTACTTTATTTTTACGGGACTGGAGAACTTAGTAACAATCCTCACACCTGCCCCTACAGACGAACATTGCTGGCCTTTGGTGCAATTTGACACCTTACTATTCGAAGTTGTAGTAACTTTCTCGGTCACTACCATAACATCTGGGCTGTTTGTAGCGGCGGTTCTCATTGACGGGACCAGACTGCTGGTCACTAGTTTAGAATTTTTGGTAGATGAGCGTTTCTGAGGCGTAGGTGGGTCTTTCGATGGTGGTACGTTTGACGACGACAGTTGTCGTGCTTTTGAGGACGATTTTAATGACGCCACTCCTGATGAGGACGACGATGACGACGACGATGATGAGGGTGATAATGAGGTGCCTGAATAGCGGGACGGAGATTTGCTTTTTCTAATTTTTGATGATTCTTTTGGAGTCTTGCTTTTTTCATCAACGTCGCTTGTCTGTGAGAGCTATTAAAATGGTTTCATTTATTTATTTATTAAATTATTAATTAAATATTATTCAATAGATTTATTGATTTTTTAATCTTTATCATAAAAATCGACACTCACTGATTCTAGACCAGAGCTGCGGCTTTTGCCGCTACCACTACTACCTCTCGATTTTTCAGTATTATTACTGCTGCTATTAGCGGTAGTATTTGTGGCATTTGAGAGTACCCTCTTACTGATTGGATGGTTCATATTTCTAAGTAGTTTACTCTTTTCAAGCTCCATTTCGTTGGCTAGTTCTAACTTCTCTCGTCTCTGCTTCTCGTTTAGTTCATCTAATTCTTTCCTCTGCGCCATCTCCAGCTCAGCTAATTTATAGTTAAATTTTTTAACGGCTTTTAGCTTCTTGAACATTTTGTTCAAATCATCTAGCTGCATCTTTGCTATTTTCCTATCCTCACAGCTGCTGACGCCCCCACAGCCGATCACCAACCCCGCCAGGGCTGTGCCATCTAGTTGCTCCACGGTCAAGTTAGTCGGTGTATTCGACGAGATATCCGTCGGTGATCGATTCGTCGATAAATCGTTGCAGTAATTCTTGTTCATTAGGAATTTTTTCTCATTATTCATCCACTTGTACAAATCTGTCTCGTTCAAATTCAGAAGTTCCTTCTTTGTTAAAATTGTCGCGCCTTGTTTGCTTTGCTTGGCGTCATTTTTGTGAGTAGGATGGTACTGATGGTACTTCTCTAAATATTTTCGTAATGTATCGTCGGTGTTGAGCTCCAATAAGTCGGGCTGGATCGGTTCGGTATTTTTAATGTTCGGCTCCATGGCTGGTGGCTGGCCGGATTTCTGTTTCCTCTTCATTTCCTTGTGAAACAATGATGATCATTAAAGTATTGATAGTCAAAAGTAAATGAATGAAGGAGCGAATGAATGAATGGATGGATGAATAAATAATTACAAAATGGATAAATATCGGTGAATGTTCACATCCGTCCATTAGAAACGAACCTGGTAGGGTCTTGTATTCCTCATGATCACCCCATCTTTCCAGACACTTTGAAAGGCCATCCCGTTGGCGTACCGGTAGGTCCCGCATCCCTCAGGTAATCCTGAGTATGTGAATTTCAATTTCCACTTACTCACTGTATAATCCTGGTAGCGTAATGGTTAAAGACGTTTGATTGGATCCTGTGTCGCTGTGATCGGATTCAATTGCATACTGATCGCTGCGTCTTCTTTCGTATGCGAAAGTAAATGACATAAGAAAGAGAGAAAGCGAAAGGGAAAGAGAGAGAGAGAGAAAGAGAGAGAGAAAGAAAGAGAGATAGAGAAAATAAAATATATTTTATTTAAAATAAACCTTTAGCCCATACTCCTTTAAATATGTCGCCATTGGAATAAAACATTGTCCCATTTCCATGTCGCATGTCGTTTTGCCATTGGCCTGAATTTGATTGGTTGGTTGGTTAATTAAATGATTGGTTGGTTGGCTGGCTGGCTGGTTGGTTCGTTGAATGAATGGTTGGTTGGCTGGCTGGCTGGTTGGTTCGTTGAATGATTGGTTTGTTCGTTGAAGGATTGGTTGGTTGGTTCGTTGAATGATTGGTTGGTTGGCTGGCTGGCTGGTTGGTTGGTTCGTTGAAGGATTGGTTGGTTGGTTCGTTGAATGATTGGTTGGTTGGCTGGTTGGCTGGTTGGTTGGTTCGTTGAAGGATTGGTTGGTTGGTTCGTTGAATGATTGGTTGGTTGGCTGGTTGGTTGGTTCGTTGAAGGATTGGCTGGTTGGTTCGTTGAATGATTGGTTGGTTCGTTGAATGATTGGTTGGTTGGCTGGCTAGTTGGTTTGTTGACCGATCTTAAATAGTTGCCAAAAACTATTTGAAAAACTGCTTGGTACAATTCTTAACCGTTGTTAATAATTATTAATAGAGTAACAAACGAGAAATAATTAAACCAATTAAATAATTAATCAATTTAATTAAATAATTACACAATTGTTTAGATAAAATTTATTTAAAAAATAAAAAAAAGAGATCACCCCAGTATCTGGACCCGTCTACGTAGACGAGTAGACCACGCCCACACTTCACATCATTGTGCCACTCACCAGAATATATACTCCCGTCATTGTAGCTTCATTATAATTAATAATCATTATAATAATTAAATATTAATGAGATTGGTTTATGAATATTAATAAGGGCGATTATGCCCCAACCTATATTTTCCCACCCCGTTCTTCTTTCCGTCAATAAAATGACCTTTGAACGTTTCCCCGTTTCCTAATTGGTACTTTATACTGCCGTGGGGCGGAGTCATCTCTTTCTATTTATAAATATTAATGAGGGTAGGTTATGAATATTAATGAGCAAGAATTAAGATATATTTAAAATACACACACATTTATTCAAATATAAATTAAAACCCGCAAGAATACATAAAAAAATCCAAGCCCACCCACACAAACACACACATACACCCACAAAAACATACACATACACCCACAAAAACATACACATACACCCACACAAACATACATACACATACACTCACTCACTCACACACACACACACACACCATCAGTGAAACTTGCTCCATCTTGTCTGGCACGAATGACGTCAGTGATAGGTACTTTTCGATTTTAGGACTGAAACACTCGGTACCCACACTCGATACGTTACGGTCCTGGAACGATTCCGTCGGTATGTCGAGTAATTCATCGGTATTACTGACATTAGAGGAAGTCGGTATCGAAAATATACCGGAAAATGTCGGTACAAATTTGATGGTATTCTGATTATTCGCCATTGTAACACTAGTTGTATCGGTTATATCGGAGGCTGTGTCGAATTGTTCCTCTTGAGAAACGAGACTCGAATTTGTTAAGGACCGAAATGGTGCAACCAAGGACCGACGTGGTGATAAAAAGGGTCGATTTTTTAAACTTGATACAGCGCTTGATTGATTAGAAATCAAGGTAAGAATATTTTCATCGTCAGATCGCTCTAGAGATGATGAAGATGATGAAATAATGATGATTAGAACGGGTAAAAGTAGAGAGATAATGATGGACGGAAGAAGGGGGATAATGATGAGTGAGAGAACGTTGATGACGTCAAGTCTGACGTCACCGTCGAAATGTGCGGAGGAGAAAAGGAAGAAGATGAGTAGGGAGAAGGTGAAGTGCGAGAAGAGAGGACTTATAATGATTGATAGTAGGCTGATTACGCAACTTTTAAAGATGACGTCATTTCCGCCATCATCGTTGTCTTTGTTTTTGTTATTATTGTTGCTATTATTAGTATTGTTGTTGCTGTTGTTATTATTATTATTATTATTATTAATGTTATGATTGTTGTTGTTGCCGCTTCGGATGTAGTCAAATTGCATTTTATAAACAATAACAGATGTGACGTAGACGTCCGAAAACCAAAAAAACTAAATGCTTAAATTCATATTGTTGTTGTTGTTAATAACATTAACAGTAACAATTACAAATGTATAAAAATTTCAATAAGAAAATATACCCCACTTGAAAGCATTTCAAGTGTAAACAAATTAAATATTTTATAAAAAAACAACAAGATGGCAGTGTTGCTGTCGCCGCTGCCGTCGCTACTGTCGCTTCTGCCGTCGCTGCTTCTGCCACTGATGATGAGGATGATGATTGTCACGAAGATGATGATGATATTGTAGATAATGAAAAAGAAGAAGGAAAAGGCGACGATGATGATAATGATGATGATGGTTATGATGATGATATTCTAAATATAGATGTAGGTGATGATAATCTCTTTCTCTTTCTCTCTCCCTCTCTCTCTCTCTCTAACAATTACACTTAAAAGGTTTATAAATTAAATATTTTATAAAAAAACAACAAGATGGCAGTGTTGCTGTCGCCGCTGCCGTCGCTACTGTCGCTTCTGCCGTCGCTGCTTCTGCCACTGATGATGAGGATGATGATTGTCACGAAGATGATGATGATATTGTAGATAATGAAAAAGAAGAAGGAAAAGGCGACGATGATGATAATGATGATGATGGTTATGATGATGATATTCTAAATATAGATGTAGGTGATGATAATCTCTTTCTCTTTCTCTCTCCCTCTCTCTCTCTCTCTAACAATTACACTTAAAAGGTTTATAAATTAAATATTTTATAAAAAAACAACAAGATGGCAGTGTTGCTGTCGCCGCTGCCGTCGCTACTGTCGCTTCTGCCGTCGCTGCTTCTGCCACTGATGATGAGGATGATGATTGTCACGAAGATGATGATGATATTGTAGATAATGAAAAAGAAGAAGGAAAAGGCGACGATGATGATAATGATGATGATGGTTATGATGATGATATTCTAAATATAGATGTAGGTGATGATAATCTCTTTCTCTTTCTCTCTCCCTCTCTCTCTCTCTCTAACAATTACACTTAAAAGGTTTATAAATTAAATATTTTATAAAAAAACAACAAGATGGCAGTGTTGCTGTCGCCGCTGCCGTCGCTACTGTCGCTTCTGCCGTCGCTGCTTCTGCCACTGATGATGAGGATGATGATTGTCACGAAGATGATGATGATATTGTAGATAATGAAAAAGAAGAAGGAAAAGGCGACGATGATGATAATGATGATGATGGTTATGATGATGATATTCTAAATATAGATGTAGGTGATGATAATCTCTTTCTCTTTCTCTCTCCCTCTCTCTCTCTCTCTAACAATTACACTTAAAAGGTTTCCTTATTAGAAAGGAACATTTTAAACTAATAACTAATTTTAAAAAATTATTATCAATGCTTCATTTACTTTTACAAACATACAAACATACGTACATACATACAAAAATACATACATACATACAAACACACACATACAAGCATCTTACTGGATGGGGTTATGTAGGAAGAAAAGGAATGCGAGTTTAAATAGTTAACAGACGGGCTTGTGTCACGTAAGGCTGCCGATTTCTAAACACTCCCAGATTCGGCTTAGCGTTTTACTTGGCTCGTCGATATAACTCACATCGTGATGTGTTGATATGTGGCACTCCAATACAATTTTATGTGTTGATATGTGGCACTCCAATACAATTTTTCAGTATAAAAGAAGGTGATTTCAGAGCAAGGCAAATTGTTCAGCAAGAGACATCCAACTGATCTCTGGGTGTGGCCCTTGTTTCTCGAGAGTGTCAGGAAGTTAAAGGGCCGAAGCACTCTTTGACGGATTCCTCTGAAGACTTTCGCTGAACGCTCGTTATGCTCGAGTTTCTACATACATACATACATAAATACATACATACATACATAAATACATACACACACACAGACAAACACACACACACACACATATACACACATTCAAATTAAAAACATTGTTTTAATCCTTTTGAAAATTTTTTTTAATTTTGAAAGATAAAATGAGTTTTTTTTTGTACAAAAAACAATAACAACAGCAGCAATAACAATAATTACATTATTATTATTATAATTAATTGTTATTTATCATTTGTTTTTTAGGATATTAATAGAAATACTGGGAACGGATAACAACATTAAAAAATGCACGACCGATTACAAGGAGAAACATCATCATTGGTCGTTGGAAAAGAATGACCTTTATAATAATAATAATAATAAAAACAACAATAATAATAATAACAACAATAATCATAATTCTTCGAGAGCAAAAAAACTAAGACATTGGGCAAAAATGACATTTGGCAAAAATTTCTAAATGAATTATCGAACGAACTAACGAACGAATGGATGAACGAACGAATGAGTGAATGAACGAACGAATGTTTGAATGAATGAATGAATGAATGGTCGAATGAATGAATGAATGAACAAACGAATGAAAAGATGGGTGGAAAAATTATTAAATGATGATTGAGTGAACGAATGAATGAACGGATGGCTGGATAAATGAATGATGAAGAAAATTTAAAAAAAATATTTGTTTTGTTTATTTAATTTTTTCTCTTTCTCTCTCTCTCTCTCTCAGGATTTCAAATTGAAATCTTTAGAGAAACATTTTGAAAAAGCAAGGAAATAAATTTATTTTTTCGTAATTAATGTTTTTAAAGTGCTCAGTTAAATTTATGTTTAAAACACACACACACACAAACACACACACATAAACACACACATACACACATAAAGATACATACAAAGATACACACATACATACATGCAAACAAACAAACAGACGAAACATGTCGCTTAATAACCGTTTCGTTTTGTTAACAAATTAGTTGGCGTGTACAATCCAGGTGTTTTTTAGCGTTTTGTCATTAATGATATTATTATCGTTGTTAATAGTAACAATAATAATTATAATAATAATAAAACAATAATAATAATAATGTTATTATTATTTTTATTATTTAGGCGACCGCAATGAAGGAAAAGGTTATTTTTGTTTGGCTGTTGCAACTCAAGAAG